TACGAGGCAGCAGATCGCTAATATGTAATTTTCAATACTTCGGTATTATTAACCATCGCTTTGTTATTTAGTCGTATTGGATTTTGTTGGTTTTTTAATGGTATTACTTATTTGGATGATAATTCGACAAGATTAATATTGATCGCTTTGTTTAATTAAACGCCTGTACCAGATGTTATAAATCTACTAACTTCTTATATAGAAATAAGAAGTAAATAATCAGAATAATTTACTTCCCAGTTTTCATGACAGCTTTAAAATGTAATAGTTGTTAAATTCGATGACCTCCGACCCCGTCGACTTCTCGTTAATCCCTGCTCTCGAACGTACCGGAACGCTTCGGGTCCCTTAAAAGTTTTAATTCGATTAAAATGACGAAAGTCAATTATACGAAAGGAAGTTATCGATCAGCGGAGCGGGGGCCGGCGGACACCAGATACATTTCATTTCACGGTAGATTAAAATGAGATAAGTTACGGATAATACGAAAGGGTGATACATTTCCCAAAGGGCGCGGGTTATCAGGGAGCAAGTTAGCAACGCGGGTCACTAATGCGATACATTCATTCGAGAGATTGAGAGATTTTTTAACTGTTGTGACTAATTGTTGGAAGATAAATTTCGGTGATAATTTTCCGTTCGAAAAAAAATCGCTCGAAAGGAGTTTATCCGTATAAGGGAAATTTCGAATGCGAGTCGCTCGGGCTTATGAAAATAAATTCACCCTTTCAAGAAGGTTCGGTGTTTACTGAAAAATCTTCGCGCGTTTCGCTATTCTCGAAAATCGACCGTTCAACACATAGATAGATGTAACGCCTAAGGGCGACTATGGTTTGTTCCGAAAGTCACGGCCCCGATATCACGTTTTCTCGCTACAGTAAGGGAAGTCTTCACCTTAAGTGATCCAGCCAATCTCGAGATGGCCCATCTAGCCGGATGCATTATAGATAAGGCCAGAAATACCGACGCTATTCCGACGAAGCGCGATAAGACGCTAATAGCTTCAACTTTGCACTCTATCGCCCTTGTTTTCGGGGCGTCCGTCTCGACGGTAAGCGTCGTTTATGGAGGTCTTCAATAAAAATATGTCCGCATAGACAATCCAAGCAGTATTTAATGATATGAAAAGGTGTATTGTTGAAACTAAGGCGTTGTCAAAAGATATTTTATGTATATATAGGTATATCAAAAAAGATCTCATATATGACTTCGGTAATCTTCTTTTCCGATTGACAGCCCTTTGCACAATGAGCTCGAGCAAGCGAAGCATCGGAGTGGTATTTCCGACGTGGACGTGTCGGTGGTAGGTAGATACGCCGAAGTTTTTTAATGCTTACATTCAATTAATGGACTCGGGACTAATCAGAGGTCGTCAGAAGCCGCAGTATCGGTGATTAGGACAAAGCGTGACTGCCTATCTGGCCGCTCATCTCCTTGTATTGTGTTTACATGGGCCGTATCATCGTATCTGATGCGAAGCGAACGTTTGACAAGCTCCCCAAAACCAGATAGGCCCGAGCTTAAATTCTTGGGAACGGGTCAACTCCACTCCACTAGAACATGCAGTCTTTAAAATAAATTGTTTTAATTTATACAAATCTAGTTTCATCAAATATGTTTTCTATACATAGCAATAATGCAATTCGTAATTAGTACTTAATTAGTTACTTGTCAATTATTAATACCACTGACTCTAGTGACTTTAGAATTGCTACTTTTCACCTGAAAAATTTGCTATATTGTCAGAATTATTGCAATTTCCTACAAACTATTAAAAAAAGCATCAATCATCTTAATCATGCACCCACAGCATTTCTTTCTGGCTTTAAGATTAAAAATGACAGCTTTAGTGCAGTTGTGTTTTCTCGAATCTGCTCAACTTTACTATTTATCTATTAATTCGAAATCGGGTTTGACATAGGACCGGAATTTTAGGCAGGGAATTTTATCGGGTACCCATTTGATTTTGAATAGCTTTAAATGTCAAGGATTAGATCAGGGGTATATTTCGATGGCAATTAATAGTTTTTAGAAGTTAATTAAGTAAAATAAACCGCCAGGTGTTCCGCGTTGGTCGATTATACCGAAATTTGCGCAGGAATTTCATCAGTAATCGCACTTCTAGAGTACTTAGTAGAGCTTATGTAATGTTCATGCAATATCTAGTATATTTTAACAAGCAATTGTCATTCAGTAGACCGTGATTGCATAGGTAACAAAGGGATTTACTAATTTACTAACGTCTAACGAACCGTTTTAAACTAGACACATTGAAGTAGTAAAACATAATGATCTTGTAAAACTATTGATTAAAGTACTAAAATATTTGACTTTTTCATAGCAATTTTGACCTAAAAGGAGCTAACAAATGTACCCTAATTATCATAAAAGTAACAATAATGTTAAGCTATTAAAACACCTTTTGTTATATATTTTTGATCATATTAAAAACTACAATACACGGCAGATATTCGTAAGGATATAATAAGGATTAGGTTCGAAATTGCGCCGCCTCTGTAAGCATCCAGCGTAACTTTAGACAATACGTAAACACGTCGGCTGCTCTCAAGCCAATTAGCTGTTCCGTGAAAGCCAATAAATCGCTGCTCGTTTCCGAAATGGGGTAGAACTGCGAGGGGTAGGAGAGACCACATATGAAGAGATTTCCCTTGAGCTCGGCTCCGCGTCGGCGTCGGCGTCGCGGCCGGCATCCGCCGTCGGCGTCGGTTACCGTGGGGAATTCGCGGACGGAGAGGTGTGCATGCCTTTTCGAATTAGGTCCCTTCGTTCCCGGTTCGGGCCCTTTAGTCACGGCGATTCTCGCGGTGATTATTGTCATCGAGGAGTATGGGAAACTTTCGGTTTTACGGAATCATATCTCCGAGTTTCTCACCCTTAGGAAATAATAGAAAATCGAGCGTTTCTGTGGGGGATTCGACCGGAAAATTATACGGTCATAATGTTATATTTATGATTCTAATTGAGTAAAATACTTATTTATAAGTCATCTTCTCATGAAATGGAACAAAATGTCTATCAATTACATTAATTTCTTCGTTTTGTTTAAAATTCCTCGCATCACTCGAGAAATATTTTTTGATTGATCTCCAATGGCGATTTAAGAAATTAAAAACCTGAGAAGAAAATCCATCGGGCTACAACCGGCAGCATTCGCGAGATATGTACAACATCGTCGTACTGTCAGCTATTAAATGATCGATTCGTATAAAAATCGTTCCGTTTCATGCTACTGAGATTGTATCTGTTCCCGGAGAAATTAAATATTTAAGCGCAACTCACGTGTTTGACAGTTGAAATACACGTACCAGACAAACTACATACACATATACGTGTCTATGCCATTTTACACCACGGTTGTTCGAGTATCCTTTTGTTAACCGCTCTGACTGGTAAATAAGGCTGATCGCTAAATTGGTTTTCAGCTCGAATAAATTGATGAGAAATGCAACGTGCTTAGTAGCTACATTTATTTGTATTTATATAGAAGAATTTTTTGTTGCATTACAAGGGAGTATACTCTATCGTGTTGGAACTTTAACCACTCTTCTTCAACTGAGCTAAATGTTAATAAATTAATTTCGTTTTTATTTTCCTTTTTTAATTAATTAGTAACATATAGAAAATCATATATTGTTATATTTGGTAAAAATATAAATTAGTCATTTTTTGTAGCATATTATACCTAACGTTTTACCATCAAGTCTCTCCCCTGCAATCATAAAAAAAATAATTGCTACACATAGACCACCTAGTGTGTTTATGATAATCCATATTATGATAAAATATAATTTATGGACTATATAAAATCCTGAAATATAAAAAACCGAAATTTTCGGTTATCATTTGTTATATATCTAAAATAGTGGGCTTATTTACATGAATGAGTATTATGATACTGCTTAAAGTGTTAGATCGTTGCGATTAAAAATAATATATTATTTTAATGAATGTAATTCGATATCCCGTAATTAATTTAGAACAAAAGCGGAACCCGCCGTAATTGCAGACTAAATACATTTAACAAGCACCTTTTTTATTAATTAAATATTATTAGTTGCCTTCGTTTATTCGGTATAGTTTTCGTTGAATTTATTATCCAGCACGTATATAAAATCGTTTTATACTCATTGGATTAGCAAATTATCCAGAAGCTTTATTTGAAGATGTTCTATAAGAAAAGAAAGGTATAGTATTTGTTTAAGACATGTAGATATCGAAGATTTATCGGTTTAATTAAATACCAATTTTGAAGAACGTACGATTTTTTTCAAAGCGTCGAAACTGTGATTCCTCTGGTCAGCGATCATAAACTACAAGAAATGATAATTATCTACAGTCAATATATGTCCCAAAGACATTTCTTCATCTGGTGGTCTTCATCAATCAAACTCACTTGGAGCTGTCTCGTCAGACGTTCTGCGTCCCCCCTGCTTCTCGACGAATTGGAAACCATTAATAATCGAGAAATATTTTATGTATTTGTTATTGTGACTTCTTGTTGAAGAAAATTCATCTGGTATCGAAGAGGAAGTAGACGAGGGATATGCGAGAAGTAAAGAATTTTTTTTGAAAAACCTCTTGCAACTGGTAATAGATACATATTTCAAAATAACTCGCATCTTATCCTATTACAGATACAATATTTAAAATTTAGTTATTATTTACTTTACGTTTAAAATATTCTCAATTTAAAATGAATTGGGTATCGGCCTGATGTGGTCTTTCGTCTCAAGTTTTTCAATTTTTTTTGTAACCCTCGTATTGAGAAGAAAGCTTAGGCTTTTTTATTTATGTATATACTACATAGACTTATCTCAACATGTTTCACGAATCGATATCTGATCTGTTGCTAATATAAGATTGATGAAATAAAATATTCAGTGAATTGCCATCGACTTTTCCTTTCTGATGATGGTTAATGGGTTCATGGTGTATATCATTGCATATTTTTAATTAAAAAGAAAAACGATTATTTGTAGTTTAAAATCAACTTTAATTTTTGTTCATATCCACAGTATTTTACACAATGAAACAAAATCGATCAGTGTTCAGACATATTTTCAAAATATTGACATAGTTGCGTTATGAAAAATAACATTTAACATTTCACCCTAATCTCTCGTATGCGTCAGGTGTAAGATAAGGTGCTTAAAAATTAACATTATTTTCAGAAATTATACAGTACTTTTTGTACACAAGCATTTAATATAATACTTAGATACTACGAATTAAATATTTGTCAGGTCCATATTTCAACCCCAGTAAAACATTTCATTGAGATCACTTAATTAAACAAAGACACATTTTTTTGAATCATATTCAGGTTTAGATGCTAATTAATAAATAACGAACAACAAATTTTATTGAGTCTTATTGAATGTCAGTGCATCAATGAATCGCCCTGTAGTTTATATAGAAGATTTTGTTTTGACGATGGTATTTTACCGGGGTGAGGAAGTGTAATCATTCCACAGTTCAGCCTCATCATGTCAGTCAACGGTTCTTGTCTGGCGTTCTACACAAGGAAGTTCGTCAAAGACAAAATAAATGATGTCTCTCGCTTAATGTTCCACCCGATGATGTACACGATGAAGCCTATGAACTAACATTAATCTAAAATAAATTATACTTATATTTATATACAGAGTTATAGACATATTGTACAAGAAGTTAGCTTCGTTTTGTCGTTTTTTAACTGTAGGTATATTAAAAATAGAAGGTGCAGTTAACATCGGAGACTTTGTCGCGAGGATTTAATTTAAAATTTCGGATTTATAGTCCACCTAAACGCTTAAGTTGTGTAAAAAATGCATCGATTGATTTTTGTGGACGTGGAATCATTTTCAACGAAATCCACTAACTGTCACCAATAAAATAAGAAAATATTAATCCAATCAAGAAAACGTTACAAAGCAGATATTCCTTATAGTTGTTTTATATCAAAAACATATAGGAATGACATTTTCTTACCAGTAAATTTTTAGTTAGGTACACGCGAAAATTTTACTATAAACGATTTCATCGATTGGATCATATCGCAGTACCATTAAAGCAAAATTACACTAGATATCACATAAATATCTTCACGAAGGGCTATTGGGCGACTCCCTTTCGTCCCTCAAGCTCGTGTCCGGCGACGACCGCTGCGGCGGCGTGTACGGCGAGAACCGGTGCTGGGCGAGCGGCCGCGCCAGCGGCGAAATCGGCGACGGCAGCTGCGACGAACCGGCCGCCGCGGCGGCCGCCAGCTGGTGCTGGTGCTGCGCCGCCAGCAGCGACGGGCCCAGGCAGGCCCACTGGTTCCACAGGATGCCCGGCGGCACGGCGGCGCCCTGCGCGGCGCCCGCTCCCGCGTAGATGCCGCCCATCAGCGGCCCGTAGGGGCCGGCGGCGGCGGCGGCGCGCAGGAACAGCTGCGACCGCGCCGCCAGGATGGCCTTCTCCTCGAGGGACAGGTTGTTGTTGTGGGTGTCCATGTCGGCGAAGGGGCGCAGCGGCGAGCGGAAGTAGTGCTGCTCCGCTAGCATCGACTCCATCGTTTCCCTGTAATCGCAAAAACTGGTGACGGTTATTGCAAGCTCGAAAATTCGAACGTATACACAAATTCTCAATTAACCGAATAAGAAATGTTTTATCAATCCATTTTTTGTCTACCGATCAAAATAAAATCGATTTGTTAATGGACGCGCCCCGATAAAACCCATCTAATAATCTGAAATCGATGCCTTTCAGTCAGCTCTAACAGATAGCCGGGGCTAATTGATTTATTCAGTGTAAAAGCTTGTCACGATTTGGGCCGAATAATAAGATGCATACCTTTCGAATTCGGTGAGTCTAGACGAATCCCTGAAACCTTTGGCAAATGGATTGCTGTCAATTTTCAGCTTCGTTATCTGTAACAAAAATTATGAACTCGAATTATTCATGTCGATGTTGACTGATAGAAGACTATTATAATACTGTATTAATATTAACAGCGACAATAAAAATGTTGTATTTCTGAGTGGTTAGTTGATTGATGTTAAACAATCGGATTTCGAGTCAAATGCTCGTTTAATTGTGTCTTTTTTAAGAACCCCAAACTGACGCAATAAACAAAGCAGGGTGAATTACGAGCGAAGAATAAGCGGTAGCGCCAGTCACATGTGAGATGGTGTTTTATGAGAACTCGCTGTACAAAACGAAACGATCCTGAAACGGCTTTCGGTCGTCAGTAAATTCCACCCAGCAAAAAAATCGTATTAATAAAAAAGAAATTTTTGTCGAGTTGAATAATTTCTCTCGGAATATATCGGAGTTGTGCTTAATAACGACAACTAATTCTATACAAATGAATGTCTAAATTAGGTTCGTAAAGATGGTAATTTCGCTGTAATTTGCGGCAGAATTTTACAAGACCAACATTGCCTAGGCATAGGCACCGTGTATATGCAAAGCATGATTGACCGGTACGAAAATTGGCCAAACGCCGAATTAATCCGGCTCGAAATTATAATGGTAACGTCCAGCCGCATGCGAAACTCCAATTAACTCGAATTGCGAAATCCCGCCGATTGATTCCTCGTTCACGATCCGTTGATCTAATCCCATAAAATTTATCGATAATAAAAATGAAATAGGATATCGTGCGCGTATTATGTCAAAATGAAAGCCCTCCGACGCCTTCATTACGCAAACGTACCGACCGTTCGTTTTTCGCCTTTCGATCGGTATCGTCGAATAGAAACGTTCGCCTCGAATTATGCGAATATTGTGCGCGAAACTAGAAATAAATATTTATCTGGGATATTTATGGGTCGCTTTTTAATCTCACAAACTAATCAATTTAATAATAAAAATTTGTTTTAAGTTACTGTTGAAGTATTAAAATTCGTGTTTTCTATGGAGGATTGTGTGAAAGGCTTATTGTGCGGAGTACTCGGAGCGCAACGTAGGCGTTCGCTCGTCGAGCAGGCGCAAATGACGGCCATCCGAGCGTTAAAAAGCAAGAACAAGAAGGAGTAGCATTCCCCGACTTAAAGTAAACATAAATAATAGTTTTTAAATGAGACAGGACGTTTCACACGACGCGCGCGCGTGTGTGGCGCGACACATGAGATGCGATGTTCACGTCGAGTGACGAATCGCTCGTTGCAAGGGAATCGGTAGGTATGATGAGGATGCCTCGCGAGTTTACATGACACATTTCACAACATCAATGTGTTAGGAAGTCGCTAACGATCCCCTTCGCCGTTTAGATGCGTGAATTATGGGACGCGCTCGTCGCCATCCCTTGGAAAGTTTCACGGCTTTCGAACGCGTAACAGTTAATTAACAACGCCATCTTATGCTGCTTTAATTCTGCGTAAAACTTAATTATTTCATATTCGTTTCGGATAAATTCCTGGATAAAGTTTATTGGTTTCGAGACGGTCATGAGGGTGCTAAGCGAAGAGAAGGCGCTCCCGAGGTGGGCCAATTATCTATTCACGGGGAACGACAGCAACCGATACGGAGACCGTGAGGAATGCGGAGACTCCCCGGGTGCTCCGCCGCTCGAGCTCGGAGCCCGATGAACAATATGATGCATGAGACGATACCGACTTTTCGGATGACACACAAAATGCCGTTAGTGTCGGTGATATATCGACGAAAATGCGCGGAATTGCGGTCGGGCACGCAAATGTTGTATTGAAAATAGTTAGGAATGGTGAATTGTAAATAAAAACCATACAGTGTTCTCTTAACGTTCTTAATTTCCACTCTTCATCTAATAGTAAATAACTATTATGATTGAAATAGCGGGTAATTGGTGTAAGTAAAATGCCCATATTACTCATAATTTAATCTACTTCGCAGGTTACATCGACTTTAATTAAATATGCTTTCGGTGTTATCTTTAATGCCGCTTGCACTATGTAAAGCATAAAGCGACATCGACTTTTCAAACGACATGAAATTTATATACCTCGGGACCACTCGCTGTCACCAACTAATCTCTGATGTTAATCCTATTTTGCATAAATATTTTTGTGGTCGTTGTAAAAATTTTCGTCTCAGGTGTCATTTATTGTTCAATAATTCTCGAAGGGTATTCCCAGCATATCATTCATGTCACATTTTGGTAAAATTTATAAATAATTTTCTTCGACATTTTGTTTCTTCAAAACGATATTACATTGCTTTGGTACGAAATTTTTTACTATCGTTTTCACCACTTTATACGCAAATAATTAACCAAATTACAATATTAAACCAGTTGCATATTTCCGAGCCATTTTCGTAGGTAGAGAAAACAAGCCGTTTTTTCGAAGTTAACAGATAACAATAATTATCGACATGACCGCGAAGAGCTTAATTAAAGCTTAAACTCGTTTTTGCCGATGCAAATTTTCGCGTGGTAATTGCGAGCAATTAATCGAAAATTCAATAATGTCTGTAATTATCTTTAAATGAAGTTGCTGTAATTAATTACGGATCGGTTTTTGTGAGCCGTATTAATTAGTGGGAATCAATTTTGCATATCTGGGTGGAATCGTGTTCTCGCTGATGATTTCGTAATTAACGATTTAACGTATCAATTGACGAAAATTGTATCTATGTCTTGTTATATGATATCAAGAAACACCATTTCTATATTCTGTTATCTAATAATTTATTTTGATCAGATTCATCAACAGAAGTTTCTGTTTTCCAATGCGCTTCAGCTGCTTTTCACTGGCTAATTAAAATTGTATTAGACATTCCGTAACAAGCTTAACGGCAGCAACCTGCAAATTATTAAATCGCCGTTCGCTAGACAATCGGTAGATATGCATTTTATTCTCCCTTTTTAATTTTCAGTTGTCGCGTTCCATCTACAGGTAGTTCTTCTGCTATTCTTTCATAAATAATTTTCCAATTGGGTGCACTTTAATCCTCTACAGAATTATATTAACAACCTGTCGTAAGCAAGGGGCTCTGATGAAGTAAATTTTATTAACGAGAATTAACTGATTAGCCTATAATTAACTAGATTACCTATAAAGGTGTGTGAATAAAACGAAGAATATTTTGAAATAGCATTATTTAGAATAGATTAGAGCAATGTGTAAAGTAACAAAAAATACCTCGTCTGTGAATATACATTTTAGAGTCCAAAAGTATATTATATAAGATGTATACTTTCATTACTACCATGTATGGTATAATATTTCTAATGAAATTGATATACCTGTCTAGTCTTGAAATGCCTATCATTAATAAAATTAACCTACATGGAAGATGAAAGCGGGATAGCACATTTTATATTAGCACAATAAAATTGTGAAAATGCATGTAACATATGTTAAATTTCTTTTATATTAGACAAATCTAACTTATCAATACAAAACATTCTGTTTTGTATTTTAATTTTAGAATTTCAAGAAGCGCAGTTACTAAACGGATAGATTGCACGTAGTATAACATTATAATTGGTAGGTATTCCGGTCGTTTTATTCGGCTATAAAAAATTTGAATTAATTATGGAGTATCCCCATACACGAGCGATCTCTGTTTGAAAACATCTTTTGCCCATTAAATCCCTAATTTATGGTTATTGTGCTGGCGAGGTGCTGCAAGTCGAGTGACAACTCTTCATCCGTAATTCGATCAAACGACCGCTTAAACGTTTTATTTCTTTATGGAAAACAAAGTAATCTTTTTGGATTTACGAGTCGCTGATTGATAAATTGTAGCTAGCGTCAGAGAATAGACGTGGAATTTTAAATGAACCATATTGTGCTTTCGAATCAACTTCCAAACTCTCTTACATGTTATACGCATCAAAACCGATTCGAATCTTGTATCCTGTAGTGAAGTATTTTTAATTGTAATTTATAGCTCCATTGATAATTCCTAATTAAACGTCCTAATTCATCAATTTAACCTACTTCTTGACATTTAATATTGACAAGCCAAGTATCATCAAATTCGAGCGGTGTAAATTAGAGCGCAAATAAAATTACCTGAATAATATTCAACAGAAGTTGTTGGTTTATTTACTCATTAATTTAAATTACAATATTGCAATGAAATTCAGTCGACCTTCAATGAGTTCGCGCAGTCACAGTTCGATTTTCCGCAGTCGCAACAACAGTTCTTCTCGCGGGCGGCTTTCTGGCCGGGGCACGAGGTGGGGCACTGCGGGGGCGGGTTGATTTCGGCTTTCTTGTCCATTATCTCGCGAATTTTGTCTGCTACAAATTTATGGATAATTCGTCAAACGGATGGCAACTTCTGCGTTGAATGATCGGAACGTTACTATGTAAATATTTACGGAAGTTCGCCCTTTTATACAATCGCTAAACAAAAGGGAACGTGACGCTTTTTTTTTTGTTTTTTTGTTGAAAACCGAAAGTTGATTTAATAGCGAATTTGTGTCAATAACGGAAGTGACGAGTTAAGTTGGCAAGGAAATTCTAACTTAAAAAATTATTAAGGTAGAAGCTGCATACAATGAATTTTATTTCAAATGGGCTGACCAATAAACTTGATTGTAGAGTAATTTGTAACCGATTGATATCGTATAGGAGAAAATCGTGATATATTCTTTGCAAGGATAAAACCCCACTATTTATCCGCGGCAATAAATCCTGGTAGCTAGCAGATGCGAAATCGCAATCATAACTTGTAGACGCGACAATATTTATACATCAGCGGATTAACTTTGTCGTATGGCAAAATATTGTACAAGCAGTCCGAATATATAGGAATCTCTTAATTAACGATCGAGCAGCGAGGAGTTTTTGGCGAGCGGCCAGTCGCGGAGCAGCGGCCACCCAGGCTTTCGGCGCTGATAGGTGAATAAATGTCCTCTACTACTGTGACAATTTTACCAATTCACTAACTGCAATGTGCATTGTTTTTCGGTGCGCGTTGTTCGTTAACGTCCAGCCGAGACCACCCGTTTGCTGCGGTTGGCCTTTAAGTTTTCGAAAATAGCGTTATTTTTGTTGTAAGAGGTGTTGAAGAAATGATGAGTTCTCTGACGGCACCAATGCTAATATTAGGAATATTTCGAAGGAGAGCTCAGCGATGAGTTTAGAGAGACTAATGCCTCATTATATTCATCAATATATAAATTAACTAAATATAGTATTCAACCATACTTTATTACAAATTCAGGCATTAACATTATTCTCTTAATTTTTTCCATTTACTCTATTTAAAAAAATAATATAATAGGTAATTTAGTAGATGTACAACAACAAGTATCATTTCATGATTAATATGTGTAATTTTTTCCTCGCATATCGAACCTAAAACTGCGTACAATCATTCAGGCGTATTGTGTACCATCAAAAACACTTTCTGCTCATTGTGAATGTCTAAAGTATTCCTGCTTCGATTTATAAACTAAGCAACGGTCCAGGAAATGTTCTGTGTCCGCGTTCCATAAAAATGCCATGGAAAGTAATAAATATTTCGTAAAATATCCAACCCCAATCTTGCGTATCGCTAATTTCTATTTCGAATTCGACTACAATTTCCATATAAAATTTGATTGGAACCGTACCATTTTTAAGTGTAGCGCATATTTTTGGAAAAATGCCCGTCAAAAAAGTCAAACGAAAATGACACCATGTGACAAGGCGAGTCATTAATCGATTTGTTCATTCCATCGATTTTTATACATCGATTAAGAGTATTTAAATATAAAAATCTTACCAATTGATTTTGATAAGCCGTAACCGCCGTGAATATGGTTTCGGGAAAAATGAAAGTCTTGTATTCCTCATTTTCCAAGTCCGTGACCGGTCCAACGACTCCTTCTCCCCGTTTTACCAAGTGTATCCTCGGCTGGTACTTGTGCATCGAGTTGAGAACTAACTAGAATCGAAACAACTAATTAAATTAACGCCTCAAAAACGGGGAAAATAAAAACTTACATGCCCGTGTTTGTCCATTTCGTTGTTAGTCAGCTTGATTTTCTCGAACGACACCACCTGCTTCCTGAGCTGTTCGCCGGTAAACGGGGAATCTGGATGCGAGCATATCCTGCAAGGCGCCGGCGGATCCGCCTTTCCTGCTACCAGCCACGAGGAGCGATGGTAGGCATACCGGTATCTCTTATTATCTACAGGAACTATGTCTAGCAGTACTGCGTATTTTTGGTCTGGTCGGATGCCAGTAAAGGAAACTCTCACCGTGGGAAACATGCGCCTACAACAAAGAAATCAGTTCGTTAAAAGAAACATTTACGGGGGTTTTCCTGAATGCGCGTTAGTTAAGATCGAATGTCCATAAAATCGAGCAAAATTGCTATAAACCGTAATGAGCTTTTACTATATCTTCTGTTAATAGATGATTTAATTAAAAAGGAGCTATAAAGACTGTATTAATATTATGTAGGTACACATTTTTATATACTGTAGCTTTATGATATTAAAACCGATATAGATCAGTTTTAATGATTTTGTTACAAGTAATATTACTTTCAGCGGTTATTACTATCATCATAGCAAGTAAGTATAGAGTGAATAATAAAAATTGTTGATTATTAATAATAATGGGAACGTATATGAGCTTTTTTAAAGAAATTTATTGTTCATTTTAATATTAATTATTTTAGAGATTAGAAATTTCTGAAATGAAATTTTATAAAACGATTATTGAAATTATTAAAATGAGTCAATTACATTTTTATACAGTTTTCCCTTCTGCAGGATATTATGATTATTACACTTAATTTAGCGCTGTAATTTTAAAATGAATTTCGAAATATCACCGGCAAATTCCTTCATTTACGTAATTACTAGTATAGTGATATTCTAATGCCCTACTAGTGTTACCTCCTGTATTAAAATCTAATCAATTTTAACTGCCGATAATTTCCCAAGACTGCGATCATTAAACTGGAAACGACTCCGCGCAGCCTCCCGTGCATAATTAAGTTTTCGATTTTAAACTTTTGTAATATTCTAATCGAATGCTAATGTGTAAAACAGGATGCGCTATCGCGAAAAAGCTTCTGTTTCAACGCATAAAACTAATAGCATTATCTTGCGATAATTCCAGCAATAAGATAAAAAATTAGTTTAATGCCGAGATGTATATTCGCATTATTCTCTGCATGTTTAAAAACTTATTTCCTTGCGGGTCGGTCCAATCGTGCTTCGAATACAATGTCCATACCAACAAAAGTTCACTATTTAAATAACGTCGAATTGGCAGCCCGATAATGTCTTTGAAACATAAAAAATTACCGCCATCGAAATAGATGGAGTGTTACGCGTTGCATTCCAAATTAAATCAAGCGCCACTTCTATTTTAAAATGCCGGTTGATTTACTAAGACGCCCTCTCGGAAAACCCGACGATCGAATTTCACTATGGAAGATTCGAGAAAAACCAAGTAGTTAATTTCTTAATCGCACCGACACCGCCTAATTGGCGATTAACTCATCGAAAAAAAGTGGCGAGCCATGAATCAAACCAGCGACAGCACCGTCACCTGGTGAAGTCGAGCGCTGCGACACGCTCATGAAAATCTAATTGTGCGTTTCGCGCGTATACAAGACGCTCTTTTGACAGACTGCCAACACTTTGAAGTGCGACTATTTTCACCGTCGAAGCATAAACCCGAGAATCTCCTTCGAAAGATACATATAGGCAGTTTGTTACTCAATCAAAATGATTGAAGACTCGCAGCGGGCGAAAATGCCTATTGAACCGCTCCAACTATTCATATGCGATAAAAATAACCCGCTGCCAGTAGAAACGTTTTAATCACGCCGACATTGTTAATGTATCTGTAAAAACGAGATTAACCCCCTTATTTTTCCAACTGCCTACTCGTGCAGGCGCTAATAAAGTCCGGTATTTTTATATAAATTTTACGATTCGAGATATACAACTTCGCCATCATAACCGCGAATAGCAACACGTTATCCGTCGTATTAAGACAACGACCTGAATAAAACGCTAAGTACCTTTTTGCCGACGTTGAAGAATTACACGCCGCAATTTTCCGACGAGAGCGGAGTCCAATTAAAACCCGAAATAGAGTAGCGGAGAACGGGAGAAGAGCGAGTTAACGGACAATTGCGCCGGGAAGTGGATCCGTTGGCAAGTGCTGGAGCTCCGTGAATCCATCAACTCCGCTCGTATGTTTTAATTAAACGTAAAGATGTTTAAGCATCAGACCGAGTGACACTACAAACGGTCCGTGATGGTCGCACTTCAACTACTAAAGAACGTATTTATTACTTTCCGGATCGCGTTCATGGCGAACGAAATATTAGCGGATCTTTCGTGGTGAATTAGCTGTTGTGAATTGTACAAGCTTGGACCAAAAAATGGATTAGAGAGTTAAAATGCCTATAGACTAATAGACATTAACACAGTTGGTCAACGATAAGCTTGAATTATACACCGTTTTCTTCTCACCCCGGTGATTTACACCTACGAATCGGATATCAGAAGACCCGTTCGCTCGTGTAGTAGGTGTTCGGCAATCGCGAGATACCGAAAAGATATGGAAACAAATTAGTAATGAAATTATAGGCTTTTAGAAGCCGCTATCTTCATCGGTGTTTCCATATTCGCCTCGGGTCCAATCGATTATTGTAGTCGAATATCGTGGTGATAATGATCCCTTCGACCCATCTGGTAAAACCATAACTCAAATTGTTACACTTACATTTGCGGTTTTATAATTTTAAGGCGGCATCGGCCTATTAAGCTTTAATAAATACTATCTGATAGAAACGGACGTTTTCTATAATTTATTTTTTTATTTCTATGAGTATCGGTGTAATGATTTATTTGGTCGCCAATCAGATGGATGATAACGTGGAAATGTGAGAAAATTGACAATATTATACCAGCAATTTTAAAGATTTTATCAGAGAAATCATCCAGAAAATTTAAATTTTCTTTAAAACATTATTTTAAGCAAAATTACATGCTTTTCATTAAAGAAATTAAAAACACTCAGAAGCGATGAAACGTCAGTAGTTCTCCCAACTGGTTTCACCCTTTGAATCTCCCGGGACGCGTCCATTGCACGCATTGTATGAATAGAACGGAATTTATCTCATTTTCTTATCCATCCACTTCTTCTATTCCACTCTTACGCTGTCAATTTCGTGTCGCATTAGCATAAACGCGGCTACGTTGAAATTCGAGCGAGTAATCGAGTAAAAGAATCGAAGCGGTGCCTTTTTTGTTAGAATTTTTAAGCGTTTAAATGCTGTAATAAATCAAAAATTTGTAAATTTTTACAATTAGGATAGGTTGGGTAATTGTTTCGCGAATAATTTCCTCTTGTTTCTTCGCGACTGTACATACAAAGAGTAATAAATCACCCTAGCTGGCTATCTCATTAGTGCAGCCTCGCCAGAATGGTGTTGCAGTAGCCTCGACCAGCTTTGAATAAATTCCGTTTTAAACTGACTGAAAGCGATGAAAGTATTAATTCATACCGTGGCAGTTGTGAAAGATGTTCAGCAATTAATAAAAGAAAAATTCAATCATAATATTCCCATTCCATTGCAGCCATTGTAGATTGAAGAACAAAATTAATTTGTGTAAGATCGAGAACCAATTTTGGTCTATATGAATTCAATTCAATTAAACAGAAAATATTTCTTTGAATCGATCCGAAAATTGTTTCAAACTGCATTTTAATTCGCTGTTTGTGAACAGAATTATCATCATTAAAAGATCATTCCAGGAATTTTAGCTGGTGTACGACACATACGGAATAACTTTTTCTATCATGCACAGTAATTTACAGCAATTTACAATATTTCCATTTATAGCATGCAACTCGTGTATTATCTCTGTGTGTTGATACATTTAAATAAAAATCGACAAATGCATTGTTTGGAGAAATTCCTGTGTTCGGTGTGTGTTGCTCTGAAAACGAGGCAATTTAAATGCGATATTTAGTTTTCACCGGGTATAATTATATTTTCATTAATTCCTGGCAGAACAAAATATTTTTTTTTCAAAACGTGCAGTTTAACACAAGTAAAAGTTCATCCTAATACATTTATAATTGTTCCATTAAAACATACATTATTTTTATTTCACAATGGTCTTAATAAGTTATTTTTCTTTTATATTATATGTACTTAAGTAATTAATTGCGGGCTTTTAAAATCGTACAAAATATTCCATTATCTAATTAACATCAAGACGCGAACATTTTCGCTTACATTAGTAAGATAATAACATAGGAAAGCCGAGAAATCCATTTGCTCGATGTCATTTCGGAAACGGCTGTCAAAAACGGCGTGAACGCGGAGAAAACAGGTTATAATTAAAACGTACATTTCCAAAGGTGGGAAACCACGTTGATACGCGGCTTCCGAGCTAAAGACAAGGGTGGGCCCGGGTCGTATAAATAAAAATTATGACAGACTCGCCCGATAAATTTTTCCGGGCCTATGATTAACGGGAGTTGGCCTTTACGAACCTGCCAAATTACCCGAAGTGTTTTGCCCATTCGAAATGGATTTATCATTGAAAGGTGGCGTCACGGATGCAACATGGTAGCTAGGTTTCAATTAAGGGGATACTATCCCTATAATGCTAGAAAACTATAATAACGTAACATTCGGTTGATTAAGGGTTAAAAAATATCACACGGTTAGCTTCGTATAATTGATTCAACTTCAAGCATATTCAATAAACGAAATTAAATAAGGAATTTTGTGAAAAGATATAAAATTTGTGTCCCCACAGATCGAGCCTCCCAGTCTAATTTGCATCGCATTAAAACCATTGACGTTGACGTACATTAGAGATTGGAAATTATCCAGGGTGTAAACACCGATTAAAAATTCATCGAATCATCCCTTGTTTTCTCGTTCTGGGAAACGGCATAAAAAATTTATCGGTCGTTCATTAGGAAGGGCATCGGTAAATAATAAAAGGAGATCGTTTCGTGGCACGAAATTTGTCAGGAAATGTGACAAACCCTTGTCCCGGTAATTCGATTTAAATGCGAAATTACTCAACGAAACGAGACGTTTCATTCGTGCTTCGCGTTGGATGGGAACGTTAGTCGACTAATCTCCCGGCTTTAAAGCCGATCTTAATTCCCTCGAATATCCCTATAAAAATTCATCCTAATTAAATAACTAGATTAAAAACCGAACTGTATAAAGTTATTATTTATTTTACACAAAGTAGAAATTCAATCGCATTTATTTG